TACCATAAATAGAAAGAAATTAATTGGCCAACTAATAAATATAGAAAAAATTAGCCGGGCATGGTGGCACATGCCTGTAGTCCCAGCTACTCAGGAGGCTGAGGCAGGAGGATTGCTTGAGCCCAGGAGTTTGAGGTTGCTGTGAGCTAGGCTGACGCCACGGCACTCATTCTAGCCTGGGCAACAAAGTGAAACTCTGTCTCAAAAAAAAAAAAAAAAAGAACCAGCTGTCTTTAGGTTTAACCATCCCCTAGGTCTGTTTGATTTAAACTTCTTCTCTCAAAGTCATGCAGAACTGAATTAGTAAAAGACAGAGGAACTTGTGCTGAGTGGTTTAATGAAGGGCTAGCTGAGCAGTCAGGGAGTGATTCTAATGGGGTGGAGGGGCGGTTCCTGGAAGGGGTGACATTGAGGCTGGCCTTTGGAGATACAAACTAGGGCTGCAGTGGAGAGAGGGGTAACACAGGCGATGGCAGGGGCCTGAGGTTCAGGCCGTATTCACAGAACCGTGACAGGGGCACAAGGCATTGGGGGCTTTTAATTGGGACTTGATATGGGAAACGTGTATTGGGTCTAGATAGAGACGGAACCTAAATGGCAGGCTAAGGAGCCTTGAATTCAGCCTGTGAGCCGTGGGTAGCTGTTACAGTTCCAATCATAGCAAACATTCTTAGCACCATGGTGCACTGGAGTGGAAGGAACCAGGTGACCCGTCCAACTGTTCCCTTTTACTGAGGCCCAGAGAAAGTGACTCGACTGAGATCACCCTGCTGGTCAGTAGAGGAACCTGGACTGGAACCCAGGTCTTGAGACTGTCTCAATCTGCCACCCCACCCCCGACTCCTTCCATCCACAAGTCCCCTAGTGCTGCACCATCTGCTCTCCAGCGGGTCCCAAATCAGTTGGTTCCCTACCCTGAAGCCCATGACTTGGGAAGGCGCCTTAAAAGATCTTCCTTCTTTTAAAAAAAGTACTATCCCATCCTTGAGCTTACAAAGGTTATTGTCAAACAAAAAGATGCAAAACCTCACTTGTAACTCTTTTAAAAAGGCAAATCAATGGAGGCTGAGGCAGGAGGATCTCTTGAGCTCAGGAGTTCGAGACCAGCCTGAGCAAGAGTGAGACCCCCATCTCTACAAAAAATAGAAAAATTAGCCAGGTGTGGGGGCGCATGCTTGTAGTCCCAGCTACTTGGGAGGCTAAGGCAGGAGAATCACCTGAGCCCAGAAGTTTGAAGTTGCAGTGAGCTGTAATAATGCTACCCAGGCAAGAGAGCGAGACTCTGTCTCAAAAAAGAAAAAAAAAAGTAAATCAAAACAATGAAATACTATTTTTCATCTAATAGACTAGCAAACTTTGATAGTGCCCATAGTTCATGGTGTAGCACGGTAGGCTGTCTTATACCTCATCAGTAGGAGTCTAAACAGGGCACAGCCTTTTGGAAAACAATCTGGCAAGATCCATAGAAATTGCAACTGTGCCTACCTTTATCCCAGCAACTCAAATTCTAGGAATTTACCCTACGGCTATACTTGATCTAGTGTGCAAAAATGTTAGAGTAATGTTTATTGCGAATATTTGTAATTGTGAAAAACTGGGGGAAAACTAATTGCTCACCAATAGAGTCTAGTTATTATATATCCATTGTAAGAAATAATGTGCACTAGATTTCTGTGTGTGGACATGGAGAATGTTGAAGACACAGGAGGTGAAAACAGGCAATCTGTGGAGGATTGTGCATAGTACGAACGACTCCCTTTTGTGGAGGAGAATAAAACACACGCATGCTCGAGTATACAGAGAAAAATTCTAGAGAGATGCACAAAGACGATTAACAGTGGTTATCTCGAGGGTGAGGGATGGGGAGGAAGGAGGAAGGAGACTGTTTGGACTCTGTGTCCTTCTGTATGGCTTAAATTTCTTCCTTTCTTCCTTCCTTTCTTTGTCCCTTTCCTAATCCCTTTCTTTCTCTTTTGCTGCTTCTTAAAAAAAAAAAACTATGAGCATGTATTATTTTTTATAACTTAAAAAAATTTTCTTAAATAACGGTTATTGCCAACATCTCATAGATATAGATTTTAATTTCTGTTTTGGAGAGCTAAAAATTCTGTATTCAAATTTACAAAGTAGACTCAAAGTGTTTTATTACTACATCTATGGTCTAATAACCTCAGGCCCTTCCCGTTCTTGTTTTTGGTTTCAGGGTTTGATATTTCTTAGTTCATCCCTTTTGTGTGTGTGCCTACCACACATCAGGCAGGAGGCTCTCCGTGGATGTCCGCAGGGCACTGTGAGGGCTGTATGCACCCAATAAACACTCGAGGGCTGTCTCCCATGCAGATACCCGGCACAGGGCACGTAAAAATTAAAGCAGGCCAATCCCTGCCCTCTCTGGAAATGCTCACACTATGGTGGAGACAGACACACACGGGGAATGCCCATTTAACAAACAGAATGTCATAAAGGTGTGATGGGTGATGTGGAAGGTGCCAGTGGGTCACACAAGACATCTCACCCAGCCTGGAGGGAGGGTCAGGGAGGCAACTAGGAGGAACCCAGAGAGTCTGGAAGTTGAGTGGAGTCTGCTAAGCACGGAGGGGAAGAGCAGGGAGTGGGGCCGGGGTGGCTCTCCAGCCTGAGCAATTGTGCCGCAGGACGGCACAGGGTGCTGAGCTGTTCATTTACACACTGTGCTCAAGGAGTTTGCACTTGATTGAGAGTGTGACAGTGACAGGAAATCTGTGTTCTGTGAAGGTCATCCTGGCCACAGTGTGGAGAGAGGTTAGAGGAAGAGGAGGAAAGGCAAAGGGTCACTGTCCCAGTGGTTTGCACCACATCTATGGACCACTGGTGCCACTATTAATATTTTTCTAAAATTAGCTCGCTTTTAAGATATAATTGATTTAAACAGAAAACAGGAGAATAAGAGGGAAGAACAGGCTGCACGGCTCCAGGGCTGTACCCATGGTTAGAGGACAGACCCCAAGAGGGCGGTGAGAGGTGAGGCTGCGGTTGCTGATTTGGGCCCTGAGCCCAGAGGACTTGGAGCAGAGGGCCCGCTGGCACCGCGTGAAGGCCACCGCTTTCTCCTGGTTTCACCTCCTCTCTTGGGCTTTGTGCTCCCCTTTCTGTCTCTTCCGCTGGCTTTTCTCCCTCCCAGCCCTCCCCTGGCGGAGGCTGCAGGATCCAGTGTCACTGCCATAGGGATTCACCCATCTCAAGGCTTTGCATTGCGCCAGGACGCAGACGATGCCCAGAGGCGGCGCCTCAGCCCCGACCTCTCCCGCCCGCGCAGTGGCCCTGACCCCCACGGGCTCTCCAGCGCCCCTGGAGCTTGGCACACCCCAAACCTTCCACACCTGCGGCCTTCCTATCCCAGGGATGGCAAGTCACCTCTTCCAGCTGCGCAGCTGGGAAGCCTGTGGTCTCCTACACGCATTTCCCATTTGCAGGAAATCCTGTGGGTCCCAGCGTCAGAACACACAGAATGCGACCACTTCCCCCACTTCTCTACCGCCGGACCGCGCCACCATCGTCTCTCGCCTGCCTCATGGCCATCGCCTCTTACCTGGTCCCCACCGCAAAGCGACCAGCCACTTTAAAACACAAGTGAGAGCACACAAGTCACTGCCCAACGCGTCCCCTCTCACCCAGCGTAAACACCGAGGTCCCTACCGCAGCCCGCAAGGCCCCGCACAGTTGGCTCCCCCGCGCCCACGACCCGGCCGCCCCGTCCCCGCTGGTCCCGCGCGCTGACGGCCACACCAGGCGCCCCGGCCTCCCGCTCCCCGCGCCTCTGCCTGCCCCGGCCACCCCCAAGTGCCCCCGAGGGCGGCCTCGCCTCCTCCGAGTCTGACAACCGGCTCCCCCGCCGCTCCCGCGTGCTAACGCACCGCACCGTTTCTTATTTTGTCCATTGCCTGTTACCCCGACCGGGACGCGGGACCGGCAAGAACTTTGTGTCCGGCTCCCGGCCCCGGGCCGGCATCTAGGACAGGAGCTGGCGTCGGGGCGGGTCTCTCGCCAGGTGTCCGCTGAGCGACAGCGCAGACCCTGGAGAAGACAGGGGCCCAGCCCGGAAAGGGCAATGCGGGTCGGCCGGGTGGAAGTGGGCGGGGATGGGCGCCCAGAGGAGTGAGGCTGCCTCCGGGCGGCTGGGGGTTCCGGGGGCCTGAGCCCCTGGGGCCTGCGGGGCTGGGGCAGGGGGTGCCTGGCGGGGCTTGCGGGGGGTTGGGCTGGGGAGTTGAACTCCTCGGGGCCTGCGGGGCTGGGGCGGGGGTCTGGAGTGGCTGAGGGAGGGGTACAACTTCTCGGGGCCTGCGGGACTGGGGCAGGGGGGTCTGCGGGGCTGGGGCAGGGGTCTGGAGTGGCTGAGGGAGGGGTACAACTTCTCGGGGCCTGCGGGGCTGGGGCGGGGTCCCCGGGGAGAAGGCGGCCCCGCGAGGCGGCGCGACCACCGCGCAGCGCGGCGGGGTCAGGAGGCGCGGCCGATTTCCAGTGCCTGTCACAGGGCGCACAGCGCGAGGGATGGGCGGGAAATTCTAACCAGACACTGCGCGGCGCCAGGAGAAAGGGAAATTTGGGGACATTTCTCGGGAAAAGCCGTGGGGCTCGGGGCGTGACCGGCGGCGAGCGGAGCGCGCGTCGCGGGCCCCGGGCCGGCAGAGGCGCCCCTGCGGCGGGCAGGGCGCAGGCGGGGCGCGGGCCCTATCCCCGCAGCCGCCGAGGGCCGGGGGCCCGCGAGCAGAAGGAGGCTCCCCGGCGCGGAGGGCCGGAGGGCGACAGGTGCGCGCCGCAGCGCGGGGCCCAGACCCCAGGCCGGCGCCGGAGGCCGCAGAGCCGGCGCGGCCGTCCGCACCGCCACGCGGGTCCCCGCCCGCGCCGCTCCGCCCGCGCGCCCCGCCGCGCCCGCTCGCGGCCAATCCGGCCTGCCGCTCCGAGGCCCCGCCCCGGGCCGGAGCGCCGCCAGCCAATGGGCGGCCGAGCCCGGCGCCCAGTGCGCGCAGCCCGCGCGGAGCCGGCTCAGAGCGAGAAAAGCGAACCTAACCCGTCGGGGCCGCCGCTCCGGACCCGCCGCCCGCCGCCTCCCCCCGGATCGTGTGTACTGTCCCAACCCGAAAGTCCAGTTCTGCGGCCCGGCAGCGGCGAGAGCGCGATGACACAGGAGTACGACAAGTGAGTGAGCGCGGGCGCGGAGTCCGGCGCCGCGCGGGCCGGCGAGGGCCGCGCTGCCCGCCGGGCCGGCCGCACCTGCGGCGAGCGAGCGCGCGCCCGCCCGGGCCGGCGGGCGGGCAGGTGCTGCGGGCGGGCAGGTGCTGCGGGCGCCGGGCGGGCGGCGTCAGCCCTGCGCCGCCGTGGCCTCTGCCCCGCAGCGCTCCCGCCTCTTTGTTCGGTCGGAGCCTCCGCGGAGACCCGGGGCCCGGGAAACTCGACACCGGAGAGCCCACCTCCCTCCTCTTCCTCCTCCTGCGGTCGCGCGGCCCTCAGGGCACGGGGCGAGATCGGGGCCGCGCACCCCGCGCGGGACCTCCCCGCCTCCCGGGTCGCGGGCCCGCTTGGGCTAATGGACCTCTTTGACGCGCCCTCCTTGGCGGCACAGGTAGACTTCAGGTAATCTGTTGTCGCGCAACCTCGCCACCCGGACACCTGCCAGGGCTTCCAGAACAGAGAGATTTAGGGAAAGGTTGAAGTGCCCCGGTGTCCTGGCGTTTCCTTTTGCCCCGGCTGGCTGTGTGGGTGAGAAAACTGCTGTAGGAGTCACTTCGCCACTTGCATCATTGATGGTAGTTGCAGATCACTGTGCTGTCAATGCTTAGAAATATCAAGAGGATAAACTTTGAAATCGGGGTGTTAAGCTAGGCAGTACTGTGCAAAGTAACACGCCTTTCGAAGTTTGTGATTTTTAAAAGTATGTCTACAAATGTAAAGGTGGGAGTGTAAGATGCGGTGATGTAAGATATTAGGGGAACTTAGGTGACGGATATTTCTGTATTTTCGTTGCAGCTTTTCTAAATGTAAAATTGTTCAAAAAAAAAAATTAGTCAAGAGAAAAAAAAAAGAAAGAAAGAAAAACCACACCAAGCCAATTAGTGTATTTCAGGTCAGTAAATCCAGGGCAGATAAGTACCCCTCCCAGTTTCATAATTATTTGTTAAGGATCGTCTTAAGTGTGCTCTTTCTCTGTATGAGAAGATTAGGTATTAGGTATGGAGTGTCTTAAATGGATTACCCTTGGTTGTAGAATATTCAGTTAAATTATTGCATGAACTGTATTTCAGAAGTCTGAGAGATCATTGATGAAGGATTTAAGGCTCACCTGAAAGTAACAGGGAGCATTTAGGGACTACAGCCTACTCCCTGACTGTCATGAGGAAGTAGACTAAGAAAGGCAGAGCTGGTTTTGTGTTTATTTCTTGGCCTATAGTTTAGATAAGGCAAAATTTCCAAAGCTAACACTTTGGCCTAAGGCACACTTTGGAAATATGAAACACCTTCAGGGTGATCCCAGACATAAAGCCATTTGAAAAATATTTATTTTCTGTTGCTTGTACAAATTTGGGTTGGGGTGAGAGAAGAAGGGAAGCTGAAAAACTAGCATTACGGGAATTGAATGAGCCAAGTGCTGTCATAGTCTTCTGGAAGTAGCTATTACATATTAATAATAGCTTAGCAGTACGCCAGTGAGTCACCCCAAGGTACCACTGGTTCAGTAGCTGTTACGCTCTGGTCCTGATGGCTCAGGGAATGCCACTTTGTGTATTTCTTTATTTTCTTAAAATTTGAGATTTGTATAAACTCCATTTTTAAACTATCTGCTTTGAACAATCTTTTGTGTTTGTTTTGTGTTAAGACAGTATACCACCTGAAGACTTCTTTTCTCACCAGTTGTAAGCTAGGATTTTACACCTAGGTATGAGTAAAAACTTTGGCTTCGAAATAATACTTCGTTTTCACTGAGGATAAATTAAATTGTTGGATTTTCCCCCCATTTTTGGAAGATGTTCTCCTTTTTCTAAATCTGTATCTGTTTTTAAAGGGCCTGGGTGACGGCCAAACCCTAACCTTTGTTGATTTCTTAAAAAGATAGTCTTTCTATGTTCACTTTTAAAATAGGTCGGTCACCTTTAGGCCATTTACATACTTCATTAGTGTGTTGCAATGAGAATTAATCCTTACATTTGCTTGTTATTAATTCAGAATAGTTCCAACCATTTAACATTTATTTTTCCTTTTAAAGAAACTGCTTTGGTTTGCTAGAGTCAGTATTCCATTTTTTCACTTTATTGACTTATTAAATAGTACCAACTGAATAGTTATTGAAACTGTTTACATTTCAGGTTTTTGGAATCAGTGATGTTTGCTTTAATCTTTTAAATTAAATCTTCTATAAGGCTTCACTAAGATTGCCGTAGATTTTTCCCACCAAACTACAGTGTTAAAATGAAACAGTTCTTGCCCAGTGTAAAAAACTAGAAAAGATTTTTAAAAACAGGGTTTCCCACCTATTTTTTTTTTTAATCTTTTGCTCAGTGGCTTCATTTATTGTTGTAGATTCTTAAGTGGTTATCTCTAAGATAAACAGTTAACTCCCATGCCAGAAAATTATGCTTCTTTATTGATTTACAGTCCCCTTTGGCCACATTCCATGCTCAATCTCCTGGTAATCAGTAGAATATTCTAACTTTCTCATATACCCCCAAGGATTAAACGAAGTATCCCATTCTCTTTCTGCCTCTCCTCCCTCCTCCCTGTTTTTAGGTAGGAAATTTTTTAAGGCACGGCATCCACAGGAGAAAGAGGGGAGCAACATGTAGCAGCATGATGAACCTTATTGTACACTCTCCTGAAGAGGGCACAGTCCTCACTGTGTGTTTGAAGAGAATAAGTGTTCTATTTTGCCTTACTGTGTTCTTGTGTTTGTTTACGTAAAGAGTTGGAGAGCCTGGCATTTTCTTGGGGGTGGTTTTGTTTTGTTTTGTTTTTGCCAAATACTATATCCCTGGGTTCCGTGTATAAGGTAACTGCAGGTTCCCTGGCTGCCTAAATACCTTTTATCTGACGGGGGAACCCATGGGTCTACATTTAAGTGGTTTGTCTTCCAGTCTTGTCTTAATTTGACTTACTAGGGTCATAGGTGAAACAATAGTCTATTTTATAGGAATGTCAAGAACTTGATTGTTAGGTTCTTTAAAAATTAGCTATGATGCATGCCTTGCAGTAGAAAAGTATGATTTTTTTTTTTTTTTTTAATTTCTCTGAAGCAAACGGCCAGTGTTGGTTCTTCAGAATGAAGCACTTTATCCACAGCGGCGCTCCTATACTAGCGAGGATGAGGCCTGGAAATCTTTCCTGGAAAACCCTCTCACTGCAGCGACCAAAGCGATGATGAGCATCAATGGAGATGAAGACAGTGCGGCTGCGCTGGGCCTGCTCTATGACTACTACAAGGTCGGTGTGCCTGCTCTGTGACACCCCTCCCAGTCTCAGAGGCACCTGATTCAGCAGCGTATGCAACAGTCATTTGCTCGTAGAATGTAATACAAGTTGCTTCTGTAGTGGCTATAAATAGTTTAATGAGTACTTTGCCTTACTGTGGTTCAAAGCTGAAAATGCAGGATCATAGAATCAAAGGGTTGTTTTTAAAACGTGTGAAGCAGCCAGTTGCTCTGGCTCTATCTGAAGGGTGAGGCTATCATAAATGAAGAGGGCAGATGAGCCTTACTGGGCTTGAACATTTCACTGAAGGTAGTGCTTAGTGCCGAGAACAGTGGATAGGGCTAAGTTACCTGTGTGCTAACCTTTGACCTGCGTTGTCAGGTTGACTTCCAGTCCCTTAAATGATATTACAGAGCCTGTGATTTGATTTGATTGTAGGATTCATTAAAAGAAAAAACTATATTCTCTAGTCTGGGACTTTCTAGTTCTCAGATCAGGATATATTTTGTTGCCTGTTTCCGGAGGCTTGGATTAGTCTTAGTTAAATATAATCTGTGATCTGTGTGGATCTCTACATGGTTTTCATTATCTGGAGATGACACCACTGATCTGTCTCAACATTGTCATTGTTGCCCTAATAGTACGAGCTGCCACTCGCTGGTGACCTGGATTATGCTCGGCACGTTACCAGGCTGTGTGTGACTTCTCATCCTCAGGTTGCACAGCGAGTGTGTGCAGCTGGGCGCCCAGCGCAGCAGGTGGTCTGCTTTGCCTCTGGATTCACCTTGGCATCCCTCCTTCTACCACTAGCAGATATTGGGGGTGGCCGTTAAGAGTTTGGGATACTGTTTAAAACATACTGAGCTGAAACACAACTTTCCCAGGTGGCCTTTGTCTTGCTGTTATTTGTAACTATTCTGTGTAACTGTTTGTTGTCATCACTACCTTTATAAAGACAGGAACTTTTCAAGATTCCCAGAGGTGCCTTAATGACAGTGTCTACTTACGGATATAATATATATGTATTTTTTGTGTGGTTTGTTTTTGCTGTATTTTTATTTTGAAAACTTTCAAACCTACAGAAAACTTAAAATAACAGGATACTCAACTACTAAATACCTTTACCTAGATTCACCAATTGCTTGTGTTTCACTACATTTTGGCACTGTATTATTTTCCCTGAATGTAAGAAATAGGAAAAAAGTCACAGAGGATAGTTTGATTATCAAAATTGGGGAGGTAACTAAGCAAAATATTTAATTATTTCCTGGTATGATGACATGTGTCCAACTCGTGTTTGAGGGATTCAAAGGTTTTTTTCCTTTGAATATGAACAGAAACTTGTGTAATAACTAATGATTCTAGAAGAAACCTTTGTCTGGGCAGCAGAGCCAGGAAGAGTTCCTTTGAAGTAGAAGCTATTGTATATTTGTTCTTATGGCTTGTTTTATTGACTTAATCAATGTAAAAACTATTAAGTTCCTTAGATGTTAATATGAAGTTACTTTTTTATTTTGAGATGGAGTCTCGCTTTATTGCCCCAGGTAGAATGCAGTGGCATCATTGTAGCTCACTGCAACCTCAGACTCCTGGGCTCAAGGGATCCTCCTGCCTCAGCTTCCCAAGTAGCTGGGACTACAAGCACATGCCATGATGCTGGCTAATTTTTCTATATTTTGTGAAGACAGAGTCTCGCTTTTGTTCAAGCTGATCTCTAACTCCTGAGCTCAAGCCATCCTCCCACCTTGGCCTCCCAGAGTGCTAGGATTACACAGGTGTGAGCCACCGTGCCTGGCCATATGTGTATAGTATGTTTTTCTCTATTCTTTTCTTTGCTTTTTGAGACAGAGTCTTGCTTTGTTGCCCAGGCTAGAGTGAGTGCCGTGGCATCAGCCTAGCTCACAGCAACCTCAAACTCCTGGGCTCAAGCAATTCTTCTGCCTCAGCCTCTTGAGTAGCTGGGACTCCAGGCATGCACCACCATGCCCGGCTAATTTTTTCTCTATATATATTAGTTGGCCAATTAGTTTTCTTTCTATTTATAGTAGAGATGGGTCTTGTTCTTACTCAGGCTGGTTTCGAACTCCTGATCTTGAGCAATCCCAATCCGCCTGTCTTGCTCTCCCAAGTGCTAGGATTACAGCTGTGAGCCACTGTGCCCGGCTTATAGTATGTTTTAAATAAAGTGTCCTAAAAGTGTTTTACAGCTCAAAAGGAGATAAATCCTCATGTCTGTCCATGAAGGGTGATAATTTGAGTAGTACTTACTTGTCAGGCTTCTTGTGATAGGTGTAAATTTATTTTCTTTTTTAAATGAACTGAATTATTTGTTCTTTGGTTGTAAGCATTATAAGTTCTTTGGTTGTAAGCATCAGTCATTATTACATAATAACTTTGGTAAAGCTTTAAAAGCACATTGTTGGCTGGGCACGGTGGCTCACGCCTGTAATCCTAGCACTCTGGGAGGCCTAGGTGGGCGGATTGTTTGAGCTCAGGAGTTTGAGACCAGCCTGAGCAAGAGCAAGACCCTGTCTACTAAAAATAGAAGGAAATTAATTGGCCAACTAAAAATATATAGAAAAAATTAGCCAGGCATGGTGGCGCATGCCTGTAGTCCCAGCTACTCGGCTGAGGCAGTAGGATTGCTTGAGCCCAGGAGTTTGAGATTGCTGTGAGCTAGGCTGCCGCCATGGCACTCTAGCCCAGGCAACAGAGTGAGACTGTGCCTCAGAAAAAAAAACAAAAACAAAAAAACCATACCCTGTCCACCTGGCCAAAAATACTGTGGGACTAGATATAATTTTTTTTAAAATAAGAAAAATAAAAATAAATAAAAGCACATTGTTAATACCTGAAACAACTTATTCTGTCATTAGTGGTGGAACAGGAAAATAGGAATAGAAGTCTTGCCCTGAAAACCATTTTCAAGTGTCTTAGCCATTTTGGAGTGCGTGTGGGGATTAAGTCTCAGTTTGGTGTCTGTCTACAGGACATTCACTAATGTTGCCTACTTTTCACTTCCCTTGCAAAGAGAAGAATCAAAAAAGAAATAGAACAAACTCAGTTAGATTTTACCTTTGGGTAATGGACATATGAACCCCAAAGGATCTGAAGACATTTATCATATGAAGCCAGCATTTGGATCTTGGAAGAAATGAACTGTTAACATGGCTGTTCCTTTTGTTTTTTGCATTTGATCTGAAAGGAGAGTAGTAGGAAAGAGCAGTGAGCAAGTTTGAAGAGCTCAGTTGTGTTTTTAGCAGCTTCTTCTCTGTTATACTTTGTAGGTAAATGAGTAAAACCAGGGCAGAGGTATTTCTTTTAAGAGATGAAACCCAGACTCCAATGACAAAGTTAATTTGTGATGGCCTGAGTTTATTTGACAACTCAGTCGCTTTTTGCATATCAACGAGATTGTTGGCCAGATTGTAAGCTCCTTGAGGGCAGACACTGTCTTATTCTTCGTGTGTCCCCAGAGCCTGGTGTTTGGTAGGAAACCAGTAGATAAATGAATGATCAAGTTTACTGAAAAATAAAAGGCTATATCTTTGGGTGAAGTATACTTCGGTAGATAAGAACTAAATTCTCTTCGTGTGTTAATACATAAGGTTCCAAGAGAAAGAAGGTCTTCAACAGCAAAGCCAGATGTTGAGCACCCAGAGCCAGATCACAGCAAAAGGTAATGTTTAATTTGTAACAACATAAACTAGTACACTTGAAAAATGGCACATTTTTCTAAAAATAAAATGGAAGTTTCTTTAAATGAACAAATTACTAGTGGAAGAGATAGGAAAGTTGGCCTGTTAATATCCAGATTCAGGTTTCATCAGTGGTTTATTTCTGTTTGTTGGTCTGATTTGATTCTGTCGCTCTGAGACGTTACCTGTTTCTTTGGGCATAGTATTCATAGTTGCCTTTTCTAAAAAAACCAAAAGCACTGACTTTCTCTTCCTCCAAAGGGATGTTTTTAGTAATAACTTAAGTGTTGCTCATTTGTCTTAGAGGTCCTTTTAAGGAGGTTGTGGCAGTGTTGGGGGGGTCCATTAAAAATATTAAATACCAGTGACTCTTGAATACGTGCCTGAGTAGAACTTAATAAAGTAAGTTCCATTGTATTCAAACTCCTGTTGAAATTATTTTTGAAATATTTTAGGTTAAAATTTTTGGAAAATTTAATTAAGGCTTGACTTCATAGCCATGAAAAACAATTTTTTTAAAGATACCTTTTTAAATAGCTCAGAATATTTGTTAAAGCAAAATTAATTTTATGCAGATATATCAACCGTACAATGTAATAATAGGTTTCCTTTTGGTGAAAGAGAAAGCCAGGTGGCATAGGTATTAGGAAAAGTGGTGGCCACATAATAACAGTTCATAGTCCTTGGACACTGTGTCAGGCATTACCATACACAGTTCAGTGTATCATCTCATTTCAGCCTAGTAAGGACAGACACCACTGTTATCCCCATATTACAGATGAGGATTTGGTTGCTAAGAGATGAAGTAACTTGTTCAGGGCGACAGAGTTTGAGCCAAGGCAGTCTGCCTGAACTGATCAGATAACGTTTGTAGCTTCAGGCTTCTAGTTAAAATATGGTAATTTTTTTTTTTTAAGGATTATTGAGAATCAAGCTTACTAGAGAAGAGCTCTAAGTCCTCAGTATTTCAAATGAAATTTTGCTTATTACTTTTGGATTTTACTTGATCTATAGCTGTAAAGTCTTTTTTTCTTTCTCTAGTCATAAGTGGTTGTACTGTTTTCTGTTTAGTTGGTTTCCAGTAAGTGTAATATTGCATAGGACCCAACCGCCCAATGCCAAAATAAAAGTTAATGAAAGAAATAAAAATTGTCAAAGAACCGTATCAGCATCAAATTTGAAAATACACGTCTGTGGGCAATATACATAACCTTAACATTTGTACCCCCATAATATGCTGAAATAAAAAAAAAAAGAAAGAAAGAAAATACATGTCTGTCCATGAAGGGTGACATGTTTTCTTTTTTCTTTAAGAAACAGCATACCAATAGTGACGGAGCAGCCCCTCATTTCTGCTGGAGAAAACAGAGTACAAGTACTAAAGAATGTGCCATTTAACATTGTCCTTCCCCATGGCAACCAGCTGGGCATTGATAAGCGAGGCCACCTCACAGCTCCTGATACTACAGTCACGGTCTCCATAGCAACAATGCCTACCCACTCCATCAAGACGGAAAGCCAGCCACATGGCTTTGCTGTGGGCATCCCTCCAGCAGTGTACCACCCCGAGCCCGCCGAGCGTGTGGTAGTTTTCGACCGGAACCTTAGTACTGACCAGTTCAGCTCTGCTGCTCAACCCCCAAATGCTCAGCGGCGGACTCCAGACTCTACTTTCTCAGAGACCTTCAAGGAAGGCGTTCAGGAGGTACAGGAAACAAAAACATCTTCCCGAGACGGCTGTGTGTTTGTTTAAGTATTGGGTTCCACCTTTTCCTTGTTATGTAAGCTTGAAACTCAGCCTGAAGTGAATGGATTAGAAATAAAAGATTTTTTTTTTTTAAGAGAAAAGGCCCATGGGTATAATTTGTAAACTAAATCTATAAAACCAGAAGTTATTACGAAGGGCACATGGCTAATCTTACCAGCAGCTGAGTTAGCAATTATGATTTCAGCTAAGTGATTTGCAGGATAAAGAGAAAGAGAAGCCCGCACATAATCTTCCATTGACAACAGATGGATTCGCATTTTCAGCATTTGTTCAAGACCAAAGCAGGCTTCCCTGCAACTGGTCTTAATATCAAGTGATGTATTGTGTCTTTGTTTGGTGCTTCTTGGTTGGTAGTATAGTCAGGGAGATGGGTAGGCCAGAGAAGTGTATGAAATTTACAAATTAATTCCAAATAGTTCTGAAGGTTTTATGGTGAGGAGCACCTCACTCAGATAAAAGTTAGGGACTGAAGCTGTTTGAAACCAGGTTTAATAACTGGGGAAAAGAGCATTTTACCTCTGCTGAGGAGTCCATAGTTGCCTTTCCTGACAAAATGCACCAAATCCATGTAGCCATGGAGTGAACTTGATACTGTATCTTAACTTGGTACAATGATAAGGTGACTCCTAAAAGTCATGAAATTTTTGTTGTAGATTGTGGAATTTGAACAGAATTGGGATATGTGAGAAAGATGGGAAAGGGGGGCATTGAGTCCCAAGCACTTGGTGGGTGCATCTGCATAGGTGGTTCTGATTTACTTGAGTGGTATATACAGGTGGATAATTTTCTTTTCTTTTTGTTAATTTTAGAAAATTTTTGTAGATTGGAAATTTTTACTTGAAAATGAGTATTGAGTGGGTAGTGGGTTGCTGTAAGCCACATCCTTTCATGCTGTGTCAGACCTTGGTCTGTAGGAACGATGATAACCAGTTAAATAGTTGTGGCTTATTACGTTGATATTTCAGGTTTTCTTCCCCTCGGACCTCAGTCTGCGGATGCCTGGCATGAATTCAGAGGACTATGTTTTTGACAGTGTTTCTGGGTAATAGTTGTCTTTTAATTTGACTTTTAATTTGCAGCTTTTATGACTTACTCGCTTTTTGTTAACTTGATATTGATAAATCAGAGGTGGCTTTAGCGGGCTTTCACTTTTATCTTGCTATATTTGCTGTGGTAATATCTTGGGTAGAGGACATCTGCTTCAGTGCATTTAATTTGGAACTCTTTGAACTTTGTTTCAAGTCTGCTTAATTCTTGGTGTTGGTGCTTTTGCTTTCCCTTGGTTTCTTTATGTGACGGTAGTGGAGTAGACTCCAGCAGGAGAGAGGAGGGGGCTAAGTTGGGTCTCTGAGGCCCTTTCTGTTTACAGAAGTGTATAATTAGGTGAGAATTTAGGAGTAATGTCAAATGACTAAAGGCTTTTATGTTTTTATTAGCCTCACTAATGATAAAATAAATGAAGTCATGTTTTTTCTGAATCGACAGCTTCCTTTTAGCTTCACAAAATTGTGTCTCTGGGAATATGAATATTTTTCCAATTTAATTGGAGTGCCTTCAGATTTTTAAAAAGTCTAGGGTTTCATTTTATAACCTTTGTTTTATGTGGTTTTTTTTTACATGTGTTCTATTTTGCATTTTTTTACATGTGTTCTATTTTGCAATTTTATTTTTGAATTCTAGGATTTTATGGGAATTATAGACCTGCCTCAAGGTTCAGGAGTCACAAACTGAAATGCCTTTAGGCATTTAGGATAGGGGTGAGCAAACATTTTCTGCAAAGGACCAGATAGTAACTCCTTTAGGCTTGGTGGGCCATAGAACCTCTGTATGTTTTTGCAACTACCCAGCTTTGCTTTTTGTAGTGCAAAAGCCACCATAAATAATACATAAACAAATGGTGTGGCTGTATGCTAATACAAGATTTATTTACGCCTGTAATCCTAGCACTCTGGGAAGCCGAGATGGGCGGATTGCTCGAGGTCAGGAGTTCGAAACCAGCCTGAGCAAGAGTGAGACCCCATCTCTACTATAAATAGAAAGAAATTAATTGGCCAACTAATATATATGGAAATAATTAGCCAGGCGTGGTGGTGCATGCCTGTAGTCCCAGCCACTCAGGAGGCTGAGGCAGGAGGATTGCTGGAGCCCAGGAGTTTGAGGTTGCTGTGAGCTAGGCTGACGCCACAGCACTCACTCTAGCCTAGGCAAAAAAGCGAGACTGTGTCTCAAAAAAAAAAAAAATAGATGTAATTTGCTGACCCCTGGCCTAGGAAGGTTATTAAATAACTTTAGTGGCACATATGGGTGGTAGCATTAGGTAATAGGATTGTGGAGTGCCCATCTAAAGACATTTAAGTTATAGATAGAAACAAAAAAAGTGTTGTGCAGGCCAAATTGAATTTAATTAGAGGACTACCAACCACCTGTTTGCAAGCTCTGCTGGATAAATATCAGATTGGCCGCATGTCTTGTGAGGGTTTCCTTCCAAAGCCTTTTTCATTTATTTGAATCTTTAATATCCTTAGCCCCCAAACGTCTAATTGTTAATATCCATCACATCATAGAATTCTAGTTGGCAATCTGTAGTCCCACATCTGAGAGATTTTAGAATTTAGAGTTGCTAAGGCTTTTGTTTCAGATTTCATTTATCATGAAAAAGTAGCAAATGCTAGTTATAATATGGTGTGGGCAGGTGGATGTTTCCTGGCAGTCTGCTATCCCAGTACGTCCACACTGAAGCATTTCCAGGTTGTACTAAAGTGTATAGGAAGCTTCCGATGAAGTGGATTAGAGTTGTATGCCTTTTTTTGTCCTTTAGGAACAACTTTGAATATACCCTAGAGGCTTCCAAATCACTTCGACAGAAGCCTGGAGATAGCACTATGACATACCTGAACAAAGGCCAGTTCTACCCTGTCACCTTGAAGGAGGTGAGCAGCAATGAAGGAATCCATCACCCCATCAGCAAAGTCCGAGTAAGTTGTGCTCTGAATTCTGTTCCCTAGGAAGGCTTGTCCCAGCCTAATATTTCCAGGTCTGAAGTAGATCTGAATGAAGGCCTAAAATTACAGTTTTAAGCCTTATTTGTAAGCTATAATACTAAATACATTTTCTGAAAGATACTCACCTTATAGTGTCTTTACATCGCAATGCATTCTCTCTCACAGAGTGTGATCATGGTGGTTTTTGCTGAAGACAAAAGCAGAGAGGATCAGTTAAGGCATTGGAAGTACTGGCACTCCCGCCAGCACACGGCCAAACAAAGGTGCATTGACATAGGTAAGCCGCCAGGAGCCTGCTTCTGTTCCCAGAGGAGCAAGCATCCAGTTTTCTAAATCCAGTTATTTTTGGCAGTGATCAACTTCCTGCCGAAAGCATTTGAATTTTTATGCCAGCCACTAATCTGTTCCAAACACTGTCCTTGGCCTCCTGGAACCAGTGCTCTCACCCCGACTTCCTTCACAGGACGTGTGCCCAGGCCGTGGCTTCTCACAGGAGGCTGGGGCCGGAAGCCATATGGCCCGCTGTCATGACAGTGTCCCCACTTTTCAATGGGCCATTTTTTTTGAAGGGTAATGTCTTCTGTAAGAGATGCTGATTATTATTCGGTCATGATGATAAGATGGAGACAAAAACAAATAAAAGAAAATGCTGCAGATGTGCAGTTGCCTAACAGTCTTCCCTAGTGGTATGCTGAACGGTAGTGCTAGTCTCTTGCATCTGCAAAAACCCACAGATACATCGCTTGGGGTGTGACGGCAAACCCAAGCAAACGCGTATTCGTTGAAGTAGCTGTATGTCTATTCTTGTTTAATATTTTTCATTTAAAGCCATTATCTGTATCACAGATGGCTGTTAATGTCAATGTTACTTTTTTTTTACCTTTTGTAATGCTTACGGTCTCTTTTAGAATTAGACCTGAATTCTAATCTTGGTTCTGCAGACTACTTTTGTTACCTTGGAACCATTATTTAAACGTTTTAGACCTAAATTTCTTAATTTTGATGTAATGGGATTGAATAAAATATATCTAAGCTTGCCTCTATTACAAAAATTCTGTGATTCTTTTATTTTTTGAACTTCTTTGAACTCAACAAAGTGTCAGAGTTTAAGTTGTCCAGAGGTGGTGATAAGAAAAATGGAATCTTACTTTGAGCTGCTGTAATCTTATGTTGAAACTAAAAATCCTGAATTTCTTTTTCTTTTTCATCACTTCTTATAGCTGACTATAAAGAAAGCTTCAACACGATCAGCAACATCGAGGAGATCGCTTACAACGCCATTTCCTTCACCTGGGACATTAACGACGAAGCAAAGGTAGGCGATGGAGCCGGCTCCGTCCCCAGCTGTGGGGACGTGGGAGGAGCTTAGTGACTTGACAGCCGATTTCTTAATGATGGTCTAATGTGTTTGCACTCTTGGATGTTGTGAAACTACCCTTCTCCCCTTCGTAGCCTCCTCCAGAAAAGATCGTTTTTGCTGGTGTGCGTCAACGCGTGGAATCCACCTGCAGACTTGAGGGTGGGGTGGGCTCTGCCACTGCTCAGTGCTTAACCTGGAGTCTGACCCCTCATCCACTTCCTTTCCTCATGTGCAAAGTGGAGTCGATACCTGCCTCCTCCCTCAGTTCTAGGATGATGCAAGGATGAGTGAAGCCATGCCTATCAAACTGTAGCAGTTTCTTCAAAACAGGCTCTCAAATACAAGTTACGAGTAGCAGCACTCTTTCATATGGTTACCTTGTGAATACAACTCAGTGCCCAGATTCTTTACAATTGAAGACTTGCCTCCAGTTCAGATGGTCATTTGGATAATTCTAATTGGAGATTTTAGTGCTGTTTAAGAAAAGTTAAGCATGTTCTTAAGTCCTTTCTGCCTCCCACAGCGTGCTTCCCTTTTAGTATAATTGCTCTGTTCAGTTCACTAAATTATTAGAGTTCTGGTATTTATTCCTTTCTTTGGATTGCTTTAAAAATTGGGAGCTCAAGAAACACAATAGAAACCAGTTGTTTTGGGGACAGTTGTTAAAATAAGGTTGATCTTTTCTTTTTGTCGCAATATAACGGATATTGTTCTCTCAAGAACACGGTGATGTTCAACATTCTTTCCTTTTTCAGCCTCTCGTTTTTTCTTTTTTCTTCTATGTATTCAACAAGAATTTTAGTAACTTATGGAATAAGGCACCATATTAGGTAGGTGCTGAGTGTTAGGGTTTCATCTTATACTGCCCAAGATTGCTTTTAAAAATCATATGACTGAGGTCTTGAGAGTCATGTTAAGCTTGTATTGTATTCGCTTTGTTTTCTTGTGGTCATCGTGTCCAAGGCAAGACTGTCTTTCACACTGCGGAATGTAGTCGGCTGGGCCCACCAGGCCGTGAGGGGTCTTGGGGGGTCATAGCCTGCCTCGGTGTCAGCGGGCTGCTTTGTCTCGGTTAAGCAGTGAATTCGCTGCTGAGGGGCTACTTGTGGAAAGATAAACTTTCCATCTTTCACAGTTACTATTACAGTTATTTTGAAATTAAACACCGCGGTGGGACTCAGTGCACTGGTAGCAAGAACAGCCTGTAAGAAGAGTTGGTCCTGTGCCCCTCGGATGCTTCCGATCTTAAAGCAAACTGGAGCAGGACTTCCTGGCCGCCCCTGGGGACCAGCTGAGAAGTGAGGAGGCGGCGTTGAGGGCGCACAGGCCTGCGTCCGTGTTTCCGACTGTCTGCCACCTTGCCTCAGTCCCTCAGCTCCCTGGCTCAGCTTTGCCCCCTCGGTCCCCCTGGAAAACGTAAAGGCCTCTGGTGGCCGCCTTGTTCTTCTGTTGGGTGTTGTCAGCATTAGCAGGCGCTGGAGAGCCTGGCTGAAAGGCCCTGCGAGCGGGCAGGGCGCGTGGTGTGTGTGGTGTGTCACAGCAGGCGGCAGTGGGAAAGCAGGTGACGGCAGGGATAATGGCAGGCTCCGTTCCGGAGGCCCACAGCGTGCTTGTCCCGGAGAGAAATGTTGGAGGAGCGTCTTGAGTAGGCTTAATAGCGTCGCTAATTGATGTAGGTAAATTCGGTTTCATTTCCTCTTCCAGACCCCCAGCACTGCTGGGATTCTGAGCCTTGGCCAGCCACCGGAAGGGTGTTGGGCCCTTTCTTAATGAGGCTGCGGCCTTTTGAAGCTGGTATCAGGCATCAGCTTCAAGTGTGTGTTGCAATTAAGCATCTAGATTTTTTGCTTTCCCTGGCCAAGTTGATGTTTTCTGTTTTTATACTTAGAGTAATTAATGCCTCAGGGCAGCTAGAGTGAACAAGTGTACATGCAGAATCCTGTATAATTGGTTTCTTTTTAAAATACTTTTTTCTGAAAATAGCTACTGTCTTTGCCCACTTTCTGTTCTCATTGAGGATACACTTGTTGATTTTTTTTTTAATTTTTAAATTTATAATTGGCACATAATGTTGGAAATATTTATGGGACATTTGTTGATTCTTAATTCCAATTCCTTTTCCTCCACAGTCATAGGGTCTACTGGAACTCTGTAGCATTTCCTCCCTGCTCCGCCCCCCCCTTTTTTTTTGAGACAGAGTCTCGCTTTGTTACCCGGGCTAGAGTGAGTACCATGACGTCAGCCTAGCTCACAGCAACCTCAAACTCCTGGGCTCAAGCGATCCTTCTGCCTCAGCCTCCTGACTAGCTGGGACTACAGGCATGTGCCACCATGCCCGGCTAATTTTTTCTATATATTTTAGTTGGGCAATTAATTTCTTTCTATTTATAATAGAGACGGGGGTCTCACTCTTGCTCAGGCTGGTTTAGAACTCCTGACCTCGAGCAATCCACCCACCTTGGCCTCCCAGAGTGCTCTGCTCCCCTTTTTAATGTTACACCTTTTTGGCCAGGCCAGGATGAGTGAAGCTAGAATTCTGGCCCAGTGTCAACATCTGGATCTTACCAGTAGCTTCTTTTTTCTTTGGAGGTGACACTATATTGAGGACGTATCAGGTTGAACCCTGAAGGTCTTGGATTGTATTCCACTATGGGAAAAACACTTCCTGGGCTAGGACTCATCTCATTTGCCCCTGTGCACACTCTGATCATTAGCATAAACATATGCCTGCCATCGCCACGGGAACTTTAAGAAGTTGTGGAACCTGGCTGGGTGTGGTTGCTCACCTGTAATCCTAGCACTTTGGGAGTCCAAGATGGGAGGGTCGCTTGAGGTCAGGAGTTCGATACCAGCCTGGGCACCATAGCAAGACCTTGTCTCTACAAAAAATAAAAAAAATTAGCCAGGCGTGGTGGTGCATGCCTGCAGTCCCAGCTACTCAGGAGGCTGAGGTGGGAGGATCACTTGAGCCCAGGAGTTTGGGGTTGCAGTGAGCGATGATTGTGCCACTGCACTCTAGCCTGGGAGACAGAGCAAGACCCTATCTCAAAAAAAAAAAAAAAGTTGTTGTGGAACTTGTGAAAAATCATTAGTTTCCAAAGAGGTGAAGGAGAAGGAATTTGCTATGAAAAGCAGAAATATCTTAGAAACCGTGCCCCGATCTGTCTACTGCAGAGACCTATTTCGTTCCTTTTATTGTCCTCTCATAAAATTGGAGAGGTTTGGGTAGTTGGGTGTCTTTTAAAGAGTCAGAAGCCTCTGGACAGGTTAAAGTTCATCAGCCATTCATGTTTTGTTGTGAAATAACTTGATCAGATTTCCTCCCGCCCGGTGCACGGCTGAGGTCAGCTGCTGAGGAGATTTTGGCAGGGAGAAGAGCAGTTGCCTTTGAAGCAGTGAAAGATGGGGCTCTACTAAGGTGCTGAAGTTTAGAATTCGTAGGGCAGGACAGGAGGGCGCCGGTCGTCTGGAGAAGGGAGGACCGGGAGGCCGGGGCGGGTGTACACGGCAGAGTGGCAGCAAGATGGCGCAGCCTCAGCCCTGTCAGTGTTTTCTCCAGAGCCAGCTGTGCATCTCTGCAGGAATTCAGGCCTTTGTCCAGTGAATACCCCAGTTCCAGGCACTGTGCTGGACCAGGCCACTAACACTAGTACTGGGGTTCAGGTGGACTGTGAGTTAAATGGGTTTTTGTGGGCTTGGGATCCTAAATATGACATCATGATTTCCACGGAAAAATGTGTTTATACCACTTTGCAAATGAACTTTGGAGACACAAAGAATTTATAAAGTGGAGCTCTCTGTTCCACACATTTCAGTATTTTCTAAACCAAGCGAGTCATTCTGAATAGGCTGCACATCTTGACCCAGTATTTAATTTCTTTCTTGGGTTGTAAACCTTAAGAGTTTACAACAACATTGAGATTTAGTTAGTGATACGAAGTAAGGACCTCTCAAAGCCTGAAGATCTAAAATAAATAGAAGAAAAGTGAGAGAGAGAGAGAGAGAGAATTAACTGCTTCGAGTACCTGTTACACGGCAGGTGCTGTGCTCAGGGGCCTCACCTGTGTTCACACTTAGTGAGGCCTCGCCACTGCTCAGGATCCATAGAACAGCGCGCCGTCCTCCAGATGGTTCTGTGTTTGCTGCTCGTCGTTGGAACGAGGCCTTCTGAAGGGGCCAGAGTCTAGACCTCGAAATGGGTAGGAAGTGTTCTCAGCAGGGAGATTATTTAAAAGCATAAGAATTGTTACTAGCAGAGCAACTTTATGGACTCACTAATACAAATTCTTCCAGCAGAAGAGCACTTTTTCTAGTAAGAAATAATTTACTTTGCTTGTTGGATGAGTTACATTTAAGTACAGAGGAGTGGGAATAATAAACCAGAAGAGCAGCCATGTTGGGATCCAGTGAGAAGCGGGCAGCCGACTCGGAGGGAGCCGGTAATGGGTGGACATGAGAGGAAGGAACGTCCCTTGGTGTGGTGGGACATCTCTGATAGAGCTAACTGGACCGTACATGCTACAACTAGCATGACAAGTAGGAAACTGCCATGGCCGAAGCAAAGCTCGCGATTCCTTTGGCCATGTCTGGGCAGGTGTGACCTTCATGAACAGGAAGCAGACTTCTAGAGGGTGCCGTCGTCCCGGGAGACAGAACACCTCGCTGACAGGTCTCTTTCCAGTGGTAACATCTAGGTCCTTGTATCTCAGGTAGCTTTTGTTGCAGCTGCCATTCACACATTGCATTTTCCAGACATGAACAGCAAGGAGCGTCCTGTCAGACGGGTGCGAGCTCCCACTGGAGCAGGAACGGCAGAGAGGTCAGTAGACGTAGGGTCTGATTTTGTTTGACTGTGTTGTGTGTTCCGTGGCTTAAAACACCCCGGAGACGCGGGCATTTCTCCTGCAGAGCCGCTGTGGGAACTGGCTGCTTTTTGTGCGTCTTTATGGCACCTT